CAAGTCTGCAGTCCACCCAAGTCTGCAGTCCACCCAAGTCTGCAGTCCACCCAAGTCTGCAGTCCACCCAAGTCTGCAGTCCGCCCAAGTCTGCAGTCCCCTCAAGTCTGCAGTCCACCCAAGTCTGCAGTCTACTCAAGTCTGCAGTCCACCCAAGTTTGCAGTCCACCCATGTCTGCAGTCCACCGAAGTCTGCAGTCCACCGAAGTCTGCAGTCCACCCAAGTCTGCAGTCCACCCAAGTCTGCAGAAGTGGACTTCAGCGCCTCACCTGTCGCTGCTGCAGACAGGCAAGGTCTGTAGCCTCGACTGCTCGCCGTCCACCTGCAGACAACAAGCAAATAAGTGCGAAACATTTTATATAGTACGTTTAGAACATATCGTAATTCATTAATTTAGTACATTTAGTACATATCGTACTGCGTCAATTTAGTACCCTTAGTACATATCGTAATGCATCAATTATACTTGATATTTGCACATGGCAATTTTCTAATAAATAATATTATTTCAATGCCATTACGTATAGTAATAAATTCTTATTTAGAGACCATTCAGTAGAGTGTTTCTGGTGGCAACATTTCGCGGAGCTCCAGTTCATCGTCGACTGTTGATGTACTTTATCTTGACATCTCAATAAACTTTTTGTGAATGCATTATTCTTTTCAGATTTGTTGTTACAATTCTTTTAACGTTAAGTGTCTATATCCCAATTCTATATGCTATCTCAATTATTCTTAATTGTAGAGAGTGATCGTTAATTTTGCATAATGAATATTCCGCAAAACATATAATTTTTGAACTGGAGTTATGGCAGAAGGACAAGCCAGGCATTAATGAACGAAATATTTTGTTGTGACTTTTTCTGTTCTACGTAGAGGCTTGCGACGACGCTGTGAGTATTCTATATTGTAATCTACATAGTTATTCATAACTTACGAATATTTTGATATAACTTCCTTATTAATAACAAAGGTATGCTGAAACTGCTAAACGAGCTTTCCCGGTAGCTGAAACTATCCACGACGAATGTAGGTGATAGCTTTAGAAGATCGGTGGCAATGACAGTCATAGTGGCAACATAGGGATTCCTAGAAAGTTCATTTATAATTCCTTGATGTAATTTCAAATTTCATTAAATATGTATGATAATGTTGATATCCATGATACTTAGTTGGTTTACGCATAGGACTAAAAAAGAAGTCTAAAAAATCTTTGCTTTGGCGCTATCTCTAATAATCAGTATCTTACTTAACCTAAAACTCATTTGACCAAAAATGTGTTAACCTCACCACCTTGTAGGTAAAAAAGGGTAAAAGTAGCTTACTGCAGCCTTGACTGTTGCTGTAAACCTAAAGAGCTAGGTTAGCAGCTAGCTAGTACTAGTTACTATTGCTTTGAATCAAGTGAATATATTTTTTATTACGTGCTTATAAGTATAATACAGGAAATACAACATTCGTTCCTTTCGTTATCTGCCTCGGCGAAAAATTTCGCGACACGCCTTGGAGAAAAGTCTAGATAGTTCCTCGTTCTATATATGGCCGAAAGATGTCCTTTTAAATTCATGCTAATAATAATTAATTGGCATGAAACAAGAATATTTATTGGCATGAAATCATGGCATTTATTGGCATGAAATGATGGCATTTATTGGCATGAAATGAAGGCGTCTATTGGCATGCTAAATAGACATTCATTGGCATTCTTGAGACCATCAAACCATCATGCCTATATAAAGGCATGGCATTTGCTAGGAACTGTGCTTCCATGACCTTCTCTTAAAACCTTTATCAAAATCCTCCTCATCATCGCCATTAATGAAAATGAATGTTGATGAATTAACATAGTCATTCATCACCATAAATAAGAGGAAACACAGTATGAAGCTCGCAGTCATGCACCATTGAAGGCACCAGTCAGACGTCTCGCTCGTCATGTCGCTCAGCGGCGCTACAAAATGTCAGGATTGAAGTGGAACAAACATTCAGCGATACCAGCGTTGCTGCTGTGATGACGCTCTTGCTGAGGCAGTAGACATACGTAGAGATATCAGTATAGCGTATAACGTCCGTATAACATATTTCAGGACGTCAGTATAGCCGATAGCGTATAAGAGACGTCCGTATAACAAATTTCAGGACGTCAATATAGCGTATAAGAGACGTCCGTATATCGTATTTCAAGACGTTAGAATAATGCTTCTATTTCAGAGCGTTGGTATAACGCATAATATATTCCATGGCGTTGGTTTAACGTATATATTTCAAGGCGTTGGTATAACGTATATATTTCATGGCGTTGGTATAACGTATATATTTCATGGCGTTGGTATAACGTATATATTTCATGGCGTTGGTATAACGTATATATTTCATGGCGTTGGTACATAACATCTATATATCATGGCGTTGGTACATAACGTCTATATTTCATGACGTCGGTACATAACATCTATATTTCATGACGTTGGTACATAACGTCTATATTTCATGACGTTGGTATAACACATTTAGACGTCAACAAGATTGACGTGTCTTACAGTCGTCCTGCGGTGCGGTGATGCTATAGCCGCGTTGGTTGAGATAACAACAAAGTAAGCCGTCTTAATTGCAACGAATATTGAGTTCTGAAAAGAATACACCTGTTAACATCAATTGTGCGTGACTCAACATCCATATTGGGGATTCCTCGCCAACCTTTACTTTGTTGATGCTAAAATCAAGAGGAAGTTTAACATCAGCGATATTTTATCACTAAAGCATCGGCATGTCGATATTAATTCTATATATGATAACTACGCATGGTATCTCCGCTCAACGCTGCTTGCTCACGGTAACGATTATGTCTCTGCTTATATCGGTGCTTGTTCACGATTTTGAAATTTTTTCTCAGCTTATCGATAAATATGGCAACAATTGATCACAATTAAATTAAGGTTCACCTGCTCATGAGTTTCTCTGGACGTCGTAGGCTTGCAGCGCAGACACAACATCTGTAGCGACATCAGCGAGTCTGGCTCGTCGGAGCTGTTATCGCTGCTACTTGTGTTGCTACTGTTGCTTCTGCTGTTACTGTCAGTCTTGCTGTTGCTCCTGTTGTTGCTGTTGATATCATTGCAGTTGCTGATACAAGTCTTGTGGACATCTTTTTCGCACCCCAAGTTACAATCAGGTTTGTTGAATTCCTTAAGATCCGTCATGGAATTTTTCTCGTTCCTGTTCTTATGGCAACTCGAAGGCTCTTCCCGAGCCAAAGGTTTTCCGTTTGTGTCATCACGATGCGCATCATCATTACTCAGCCTTGTGGCATGACGAACACATGCCTCATCTATGGCCTCACGACCACATGCTTCGTCTGTGGCAGGACGATCACATGCTTCGTCTGTTGACGGAAGGCGACAAGCCGAGCAAGAAGATAAAGAGCTCTCTGGGTCGCCCTCTCGTCGCAGTGTTGCGTGTTTACGCAAACAATGAAACTTTCCTGAACTGTCCGACGTGTTAGCGTGCAAAGTTTCGTCCTCTTGTGGTGACTTGGCCGACATTGCGTCGCATTTTTCTTGTGAAACGAAGTGCCCGCATTGCGGCGGAATCAGTCGGGGTGTCGGAACGGTCGCCGATGTAGTGGCGCTGCTTTGTCGGACTATGGAGCTGTCGGAACCGACAAGTGAACCGATGCTGTCGGTCGTCATTTCTTTGCAGTGGTGAACCGCATGCGTTTCATGTCGGCCGTAGGCACCGCTCACGTTGTGACGTGGCGACAGAAGGTTGCACGAACCGACGAAGATTTCCGTAGAGGACGATACGCCATCGTCGGGTGACGTCATCATGAAATATTAATGCAACCTTCACTAAACTATAGGAATTTTGATTATTTTGTATTTTGTATTATATTTTAATGGTGTATTGAAATCGACTTCGAAATCTGAAAAAGGAAAATTCAGCATTAAAACCGCAGTAACTGCACTTTATGAGGATTCAAATGTACATAATTCGCAATTTGTCCTGCCTAATTTAATTTCTTAGTAAGATTCATATAATGAATTACGATAATAGATGAAATCATTCAGAAACGTTGGTCACGACCTGGGACGATCACTCGTTGCTTGCAAGCAGGTTGCTCGATGTGATTCAACGTCTTGCAAGATGCCAATAATTTCTTCAGTCTGAACAAATCTCTACCCAATCTCTTATAAGATATTAATCATTCCCTATTACCAAATCTGTCCCTGCCTCTTATAAGATATTAATCATTCCTTTATTACCAAATCCCCCCCCCCCCACCTTAATATATGATATCCGTCATTCCCTCTATATAACCAAATCCATCCCCAGCTTTTTATAAAAGATTAATCATTCCTTTATTGCCAAATCTGCCCCCGGCTTTTTATAAAAGATTAATCATTCCTTTATTGCCCAATCTGTACTCAAATTTTTATAAATATTAATCATTCCTTTATTGCCAAATCTGCCACCGGATTTTTATAATATATTAATAATTCATTAATTGCCAAATCCGCCCCCCACCTTAATATATGATATCCGTCATTCCCTCTATATTGCCAAATCCATCCCGAGCTTTTTATAAGCTAATAATCATTCCCTCTATCTGGACAAACTCTGTGCAACGTTTTTATAAGCCGTTAATCATTCTCTTATTTATCCAAAAATGTCGCGTGGCAACAAAAGCCGCCACTCCATCTGGCCGCACCAGATGAGCGCTGTTGGGTAAATTGGCAGCCTAGGTCTACGCAGGAGGCCTATTGGGGAGAAATTATAATTTTTGTGTTTGGCCAGGGCAAGGAGGCCTCCCGCTGGCCTCAATCTTTAGGCCTATAGATCAATTGAGCAGAAAAATTGCGACACGAACGCCACTCGTCGCCACACAAACGTCACTCGTCGCCTCACGAACGTCACTCGTCGCCTCACGAACGCCACTCGTCGTCATATAAACGCCACTCGTCGCCACAGGAACGCCACTCGTCGCCACAGGAACGCCACTCGTCGCCACCCGAACGCCACTCGTCACCACAGGAACGCCACTCGTCGCCACACGAACGCCACTCGTCGCTACACGAACTCAGGCAAAATTTGCAGTGCCACATGAACGCTGCAGTAGCTGCAACACGGCGCTGCAACGCTGCAGTAGCTGCAACACGGCGCTGCAACGCTGCAGTAGCTGCAACACGGCGCTGCAACGCTGCAGTAGCTGCAACACGGCGTGCAATCAGCGCGTCTTTCACTCCGCGTTTCAACTTCCGCTTTTCTTGCGGATTTTTCATTTGGGTCGAAATTTTCTGAAATTTGCAAGGCTGGCGCCTGCCACCTGCCTGCCACTGCCACCTGCCAGCCACTGCCACCTGCCTGCTACTGCCACCTGCCTGTCACTGCCACTTGCCTGCCACTGCCACTTGCCTGCCACTGCCACTTGCCTGCCACTGCCACCTGCCTGCCACTGCCACTTGCCTGTCACTGCCACTTGCCTGCCACTGCCACTTGCCTGCCACTGCCACATGCCTGCCACTGCCATTTGCCTGTCACTGCCACTTGCCTGCCACTGCCACCTTCCTACCACCGCCACCTGCCTGCCACTGCCACCTGCCTGTCACTGCCACATGCCTGACACTGCCACCTGCCTGTCACTGCCACTTGCCTGCCACTGCCATTTGCCTGTCACTGCCACTTGCCTGTCACTGCCACATGCCTGCCACTGCCACCTGCCTGCCACCTGCCTGCCACCTGCCCACATGCCTGCCACTGCCACTTGCCTGCCACTGCCACATGCCTACCACTGCCACTTGCCTGCCACTGCCACTTGCATGCCACCTGCCCACATGCCTGCCACTGCCACTTGCCTGCCACTGCCACATGCCTACCACTGCCACTTGCC